GCTTAAAGATTGTAATATAAAGGTCATAAAATCAGGTCCAGTTCACATAGTGACCCGCTTTATGGCTGGCACAATTGTATCAGTAATTGCCAGGCTCAATTAGGGTCATAACTCAAGGACTTCCTTCAGTTCCAATTCATTTCAATTTGCTAATGCCTAAGGTGACATCTGTGAATAGTTGATCTATTTTTCAGAATAATAAAAGAATAACAGACTTGGAAGGGACCTTGGAGGTCTTCTGGTCCAACCCCCTGCTCAGGCAGGAAACCCTATACCAGGGGTGTCAAACTCACAACGTCATGTGACATGTTGCGACATATTGGGACTTTTTTTCCATTGCCGGCAATGGGGTGGGCGCGGTTTTGCCATGACGTATCCGGCCCACAGGCCAGCAGTTTGACACCCCTGCCCTATACCATTTCAGACAAATGGCTGTCCACTTTCTTCTTAAAAACTTCCAGTGTTGGAGCATTCACAGCTTCTGGAGGCAGGTTGTTCCACTGGTTAATTGTTTAACTGTCAGAAAATTTCTCCTTAGTTCTAGGTTGCTTCTCTTCTTGATCAATTTCCACCCGTTGTTTCTTGTCCTGCCTTCAGGCGTCTTGGAAAATAGCTTGACTCCCTCTTCTTTGTGGCAGCCCCTGAGATATTGGAACACTGCTATCATGTCCCCCCTCGTCCTTCTCTTCATTAAACTAGACATACCCAATTCTTGCAGAGGTTCTGCTAAGTTTCTTACATTCCATGTTCCTATTATAATTTTATCTTTATGTCTTTAGACTTTCTTTTCCTGCATGGCAAGCTCAGGAACTAGATATCCTGAGGGCTTTAATCTAGCGGCATCAAAAACACCATTAGTACAGCTAGTCCTTACAACTACAGTCGAGACCAACATTCTCATCGCTAAGCAAGACAGTTGTTTTATGTTAGTCTTGCCTCAGTTTACAACCTTTTTTGTCACAGTTGTGGATCACTGCAATTGTTCAGTTAGCAACACTGTTGTTAGATGAATCTGGCTCCCCCATTAATTTTGCTTGTCAGAAGGTCACAAAAGGTGATCACTGGACAGAACAACCATTATAAATATGAACAAGTTGCCAAGCATCTGAAGCTTGATCACGTGACCCTGGTGATGCTGCAACAGTTGTAAGTGTGAAAAATGGTCATAAGTCACTGTTTTTCATAGCCATTGTAACTTTGAATGGTTACTAAACAAACAATTGTACTTCAAAAGATCCCACTCTTCCTTAATAGCATATTGAGTGGAATCCAGTCCACGAGGCCCATCATCCAGCATTAGACTGTCAGTCACTCTATATTGTCTGTCCATGTGGTTTTCGTAGTAGAAACACGGGAGGGGGTTAATCACTGCCTTCTCCCATGCAGTATCAAATGATGCTTTTGCCATTGTCACTAAAGTGAACACCTACCTCTGGCATCTTCCCATATTTGCTGCTTGATACAGGTGCCTGCTTGCTTTAGGTGGGCAGCTGAGATGAATACCTTTATGATGTTGGTGACTCTGCTGGGAATACAGGGGGTCCTCGCTTAATGACCCATCATTTTACAACTGGTCAAAGTTACTACAGCCACCAAATGGGTACTTTATGGTTTGTAATGTAAGGCATTCCTAGTTGTTATAATTGGTCCTGCTCTGCCCCCCCAGTCATGTGACTGCATTTTGGGCTGGTCAGTTTTACTATAGGTTGCAGCATTCTGCAAACAATGAATGGGTTTGTTTAATGACAGAGGTCTTTGCTTATTAATCATGGTGTTTGTTTAATGACTGCCATGAAAAAGGCTGGGAAATTTACTTCCAGTCACATGGGTGCCTCGATCTATGACTGCCACAATTTATGACCATAATTCTGAGTTCAATTGCTCTTGGTTGACATTTTCAATGTTTGTTTCTGATCCCTCTCAGAAACACCTTCTCCCCTGGCATGATGATTCAGCACAGCAGGATTTGAGAGGGCCAAGCCTTCTTCAATAGAAAGGGAGAAAAAGAATAGAATAGAGAAGAGTTTAAATAAACCGAACCACCCATCTCAATTTGTGTGGGTTGATTGATGAGAAGCTGGAAGGAATTACCTTTTAAAATATGTTTAAACAAAGAACAGAAGGATTATTGTCCTGGCCAAATTTTCTCCTAATGTTTTACTAATGTAGCTCAGCTGAAGTCAAGGGTGACCTCTGCAGCTGGACGTCACTCTTGCATAAATATTGCTTTTTTCTCCCCAAGCCATGCAGCATTATAGCTGTCTCTGCCAATGCTCTTAATGAAGGGGTGCTATATAGAAATTCTATACTGTATGTCTAGATTACCCAAGCATAGAGGACATGGAGTAATAGAAACCAATGAAAGCATCCAATGAAGCTGACTGGTAGGACATTCCGAAGCAGTGTTTCTCAAGCTTGGCAACTTTAAGAGGTGTGGACTTCAACTAAAGGCTAAAGCCTATAAGGAACGGTTGCTGGAATTGGGTATGTCTTAGTTTAATGAAGAGAAGGATGAGGAGGGACATGATAGCAGTGTTCCAACTTTATTATTATTATTATTATTATTATTATTATTATTATTATTATTATTATTATTATTATTATTATTATTATTATTATTATTATTATCTCCCAGAATTCCCCAGCCAGCCATCTTTATTAAGAGATTTGGACAGCTACATCTGATGGATGCTTTGAGCAATTTTCCTACTTGGGGTGCTCTCCAGTTCTGTAACTATATATATAAGGCAGGGGTCTTCAAACTTGGCCCTTTTATGACTTGTGGACTTCAACTCCCAGAATTCCTCAGCCAGGCACGCGTGCCTGGCTGAGGAATTCTGGAAGTTGAAGTCCACAAGTCATAAAAGGGCCAGGTTTGAAGACCCCTGATATAAGGGATCCTCAACTCACAACAGTTCATTTAGTAACCATTCAAAGTTACATCACTGAAAAAAGTGACATGACCCTTTTTCACACTTATGACTGTTGCAGCATCCCCATGGTCACATGATCGAAATTCAGACAGTTGGCAACTGACTCACATTTATGAAGGTTGTAGTGTCCCGGGGTCATGTGATCCTATTTGGCAACCTTCTGTCAAGCAAAGTCGATGGGGAAGCCAGATTCACTTAACGAACATGTAACTAACGTGACTGCTGTGATTCACTTAACAACTGTGGCAAGAAAGGTTGTAAAATGGGTAAAAACTCATTTAACAACTGTCTCGCTTAGAAACATAAATTTTGGGCTCAATTGTGGTCGTACGTCAGGGACTACCTGTACCATAGACACCCTTTATACTACTTCCATAGGATATACACTAAATATGAGGTAAAAATATATAGGCAGTCCTCCACTTATGACCGTCATAAATCATGAGGTCAACCATGTAACTTAACTTGATTTTATGACCTTTTTATGGTAGTCATTAAGCTACTGTCAGGGTCATAAAGCTAACACTGCAGTCGTAAAGTGAACCATTGTTCTCCATGAACCGCCTTTATTGAAAACTGGAAGTAAATGATAATTTTTGGCAAAAACATTGTAAAATGTGGTCACGTGACAGCAGGATGCTGCATACAGCCATAAATGGGGAATGGTTGCAAAGTGTCAAACATGCAATCACATGACCACGGGGTGGGGGGTGGGGACAACAGTCAGAACTTCAGAACCAGATTGTAAGTCCTTCTGTGTGTTTGTGTGTGGGGGAGGGCCCTCCATAAGTTTGGACAATCACTAAGTGATTGGTTGTAAGTTGAGGACTACGTGTAAGATACTGTAAAAGAACAAGAATGAGGAAAGATTTATTTTTCACAGTAGTGAATTAAATTACTGATTTTGTTATCCTGCATTTGAGATAGAAATCAGCACAATAGCTTTAAAAATGGTCGAGATAAGTTAAAAGAGAATACAGTGGTACCTTGGTACTCAGCTGTTTGAAACTCAACGCATTTTGTCCCAATACTCATCATTCGTTTGGCACTCGACTCACAAGCTAGAACTTGTTGGTGTTGGCTGCCTTGTGATTCACCACATTATTCCTTATGGGAAAAAATTATTTGGTATTCATCATTTTGGTACTCATCATGCCTCCCAGAACCAATTAACAATGAGTATCGAGGTACCATTGTAAATATCAATGATTGCTAATATATGTACGCGGAGAAGCAGACATTCCAATTGGCTGAAATTTTCCAAAGGATGTATCCCTTGTATCCACCAACCTCTCTCTCTCACTTGATTCATAGTTTTTTTTTAAATTTAAAATAAACACATGGAAACCTGGGAGGCTGTAAAATGAAGTGCCAACCTCTAACCTACGCTAGATAAATATCCAAAATTAATTCACAAAGCAGATCATACCCATTTTGGTACTGCTGTCTCCAGTGTAGGAAAGTAACTATACATTTCATGATTCTGTTGATAATAGTCCTGAATCGGCCTGGTCAGCATGTTTATAAGATTTCCAGATGATGCATGTGAATGCTTTCAGCAATCTAAATGTACCCTGTAAACACTAACTATGAATAACCCTAAATCTCAGAAGGTGGAAGTTATGGGAAGAATAAAAATTCCAGTGCCTGTTAGAGATAAGAGAATGCCAGTGCTTGCTCTCTGTTTCCATTCTCTGTAGATAGCATAACTAGAATAAATGGTGCAAAATATTTCAGAACGCATGCTTTATCATTTACAAAGATAAAAAAAAAAGTCAGTCTTTTGCAGCTCAGGGTTTAGGTGTGTGACATTGGGGAATCCAGATTTTTTTTTTTTTAAGCATAAAATGCTGACTGATCCTTCTCTTTTCCGTTTTCTTCCTCTCAAGTGAACACAGCAGTTTCCTTGCTAGCCATAAGATGGAAGGGAGAAAACTTTGGTGTCACACCTTCAGGAGAAGACCTGTCTAAGTGCAACATCATGGGACTGTGCTGAATTTCGTTGTTGTTGTTGTTGTTCCCTATTGGGAAAAAAAAATGCCAGAACTGATCTCCCACTTCCCAACTATGGAGTCGGGAAACTCCAGCGCTGCTAGACACCTTGGATCCTGCTTCAGGGGAGTGAATGTCAGCGAGGAATACAAGGAACAGCTGGCTTCTCCTTGGTTCGCCACAACTTTTGGCCTGATTGGTCTCTTCTCCAACCTCTTTGCCTTGTGCGCTCTGGTCAATTCCTCCAGGAAGATGCAGAGCTCGTCCGGTTCCTTCTTTTTGGTCTTTCTCTGTGGCTTGGTGGTGACGGATTTCCTGGGTCTTCTGCTCACGTTCGTCATCGTGATTCCCTACCACTTCCTCCGCTTTGACTGGATGGATGTAGATCCTGGATGCCACCTCTGCAACTTCCTGGGCTTCATCATGGTCTTTTTCGGGCAGTGCCCACTCCTGTTAGGTGCCACCATGGCCGGAGAGCGTTTTATAGGTATCAACCGACCCTTTTCCCGGTCTGCTGGTATTTCCAAACGCAGGGCCTGGACCTTGGTGGGTGTGGTGTGGGCTTTGGGTTCCTTTTTCGGCCTCTTACCCTTTTTGGGCCTGGGGGACTATAGCCTGCAGTACCCCAACTCCTGGTGTTTTCTCACTTTGGTCCATGATGCCCGGAATGTTGTTTTCTGCTTCCTGTTTGCCCTGCTGGGCCTCCTCTGTGTGGGTCTTTCCTTCCTCTTCAATACAATCAGCGTTGTGACCCTTTGCCGAGTCTACCACGACTCTGAGTCCGTGCAACGCCGGAGGGACAGCGAAGTGGAGATGATGGTCCAGCTTTTGATGATCATGGTTATCGCAAGTGTCTGTTGGCTTCCCTTGTTGGTGAGTCCTCAAGTGTTAGCCTTCTTCCCAGGGAATGCGTCTCTTTTATAAGTAGTCCGCAACTTACAATCATTTGTTTAGCATCAATTCGAAGTTACGACAGCACTGAAAAAAGTGACTTAGGACCAGTCCTTACACAGCATCCCTGTCACAGGTCATGAGATGTGGGCTCTTGGCAATCAGCACCTATTTATGACACTTGCAGCATCCGGGAGTCATGTGACAACCATTTTGCCACCTTCACAACCAACTTCTGATGAGCAAGTTCAATGGGGGAAGACAGACTGGCTTAATAATCGCATGATTCAGTTAATTGCAGTGATTTACCTAACAACCGTGGCAAAAAAGGTAGTAAAATTGGGTGTGAGTCACTTAACAACTGCCTTTTCTTAACAATGGAAATTCTGATCCCAGTTGTGGTGGTAAGCTGAGGACTACCTTGACTTATGAGCACAACTGAGCCCAAAATTTCATTTGTTGTGAGTTTTGCCCCATTTTACTACTTTTTTTTTACCACAGTCGTTAAGTGGATCACTGCAGTTGATAAGTTAATAACCCGGTCAGAAAGTGAATCTGACTTCCCCGTTGACTTTGCTTGTCAGAAGGTTGCAAAGGGACGCCGCAAAGGTCATAGATATGAACCAGTTGCCAAGCATCTGAATTTTGATTGCGTGACCGTGGGGATGCTGCAAAAGTCGTAACTATGAAAAACGGTCATACGTCACATTTTTCAGTGCCGTTGTAACTTTGAATGGTCACTGAATGAACTGTTGTAAGTCGAGGACCACCTGTACTTTGTTTCAACCAAGGAGATGTTGGCAGCAAATGTATAGTACAGTATTTTGAAAAACGTTCTGAAAATTGTATATAATTGGGGCAGGGGTAGGCAACCTTGGCTCTTTTATGACTCGTGGACTTCAACTCCCAGAATTCCTGAGCCAGCTATGCTGGCTCAGGAATTCTGGGAGTTGAAGTCCACGAGTCATAAAAGAGCCAAGGTTGCCTACCCCTGAATTGGGGTAATCATAGTTATCATAGCAGAAAACTAGTGGGCTTTTTCTCCATCACTTTCCCTCCCAATTTCTCAGTTTTTCATTTTTGAGGCTTGCGTGCAGCCCCCTCTCGTTTTTATTTTCAAAATAAAATAGACATTAAATCTTTTTTTGGGGTGGGGGAATAATGCCAGCAACTTTACTGGAAAAACGTAGTACTATTGGAGGCTGGCTTTTTGTGTTAGAAAGTCCAAGCTACCAAGTTATTTTAATTAAAGCAACTATAATTCCTTAATTAGGAAGGAATAATTAAAATAACTTTTTTTTAAAAAAAGTTTATTTTGTAAAATATTTTTTTAAATACTTTCCTAATAAAACTTTGCAAACATTTCAAATCTGAAACACCTGTTTATCTTTTGTCAACATCTGGTAAACAGATTGACTACAACTCCCTCTGTCCCCTAATCCACACACACCCAGTTCTGGATGCCGATGAGCTTGTAGTCTAAAATCTCCCAGTGATGTTGAGGAGGAGACAGCTTTATTTATTTCCAGAAACATTGGAAGGCAAACTGATCCTGACTAAACACCCATAATGCCAATGCAATACTTGCCAAAGTTTTATTAAATCTTCTCCAAAAAAGGCTAAGTGGAGGACAGAATCAGACTGTGATTTATCTGGAGCAGGGAGTGGAATTTGGGAGTTATCTCCTGTTAATGCAGAGAGTTGGAGCCTAGCGGTTTCCATGTATGCATATTTATAAGGAAGGATGTGGACAAGCAGCAGAGATGGATCCCGCTAGTCAGTCTGTAAAACTATTGATTTGCCTAGATTTGGAACATGAAACCGTCATTGGACCTTTGGTTGAATCTAGCATTGCAGTTCCTATGCTTATAAAACATCTGAATGGCGAATGGGTTGAAGATACAATGTAAAAAAAAACAAAAACGAAACAAAAATGCTTGGTGGAAGGAAATCAATTTTTTGCTTCTTCATCTTCCTAATTTTTGCAAAGAGGGCATCTTACTTCTTGCGCTTGCTGTGCCTTTCCTCCATTTCACAACATGGATGATTGGTCCCTCTGGCAGAAAACGGTACGGGTTGTGGTGGAATTGTAAAGCTCAATAACTGGACTTGAGGAGGTGATTCCACAGCAGATCTCCTGATCCCATCGGCATCCACAGAGTGGACCAATATCTGCAAGATTTATTCATTTAAATGTATTGGCTGCCACTCCAATTGGCTGGCGGTTGCAGCACTGCAATTGAAGCTTCATCCCTCTTTGATCCGGACAATGTGCCCATCATCTTACAGCTTTGGGCCCATCCGGTAGACATCCGAGTCTACATTATGCATTAACAGAAGGATAGTATCAAGGTCACATGAAGTGTTAGTATCGCTTTATAATGCCTTGGTAAGGCCACACTTGGAATACTGCATCCAGTTTTGGTCGCCACAATATTAAAAAAATGTTGAGACTCTGGAAAGAGTGCAGAGAAGAGCAACAAAGATGACTAGGGGACTGGAGGCTAAAACATATGAAGAACCGTTGCAGGAAGTGGGTATTTCTAGTTTAATGAAAAGAAGGCCTAGGGGCGTCATGATAACAGTTTTTCAATATCTAAGGACTGCCATAAAGAAGAGGGAGTCAATCTATTCTCCAAAGCACCTAAAGACAGAACAAGAATCAATGGATGGAAACTAATCAAGGAGAGATCAAACTTAGAGCTAAGGAGAAATTTCCTGACAGTTACTCTAGAACAGAGGTGTCAAACTGCCGGCCCATGGGCTGGACGCGTTACAAGGAAACTGTGCCCACCCCATTGCTGGCAATGGAGAAAAAGCTCCGATACGTTGCGCGACGTCATGTGACGTCGTGAGTTTGACATGTCTGCTGTAGAACAATTAATCAGTGGAACAGCTTTCCTCCAGAAATTGTGGGTGCTCCATCACTGGAGGTTTTTAAGAAGAGATTGGACAGCCATTTGCCTGAAATGGTGTTAGGGTCTCCTGCTTCAGCAGGGGGTTGGACTAGAAGACCTCCAAGATCTCTTCTAAATCTTATTCCGTTAAATCTGGTCTAGTTGGAGCCTAAAAGATTGCTAACTTTAGAAAATCCTTCTTCATGCACCCTGGATTATCTGCATGGAAACTCTTGCCTTGATAGTTGGGAGAACCCTACTTTCCTACTGGAACACTTTGGACTGCTTCACTCTGCCTTAGCAAGTGGCTGGCAATGAGGCTCCTATGCCACTGAGAAATAGCATGTAGTTGGGCCCCAAGTGTTCTTTCTTAATACCAATCATTTTTGAAATGCAAAAGTGCAACACCAGCAGTGGAAATCGAATTGTCCTCTACCCAAATTTATATAACACCCTGTAGTGTAGCTAAGCCAGCTGATCAGTTAAACCTGTGTTTTTCAAACTTAGCCAGTTTTAGATCTGTGGACTTCAACTCCCAGAATTCTGTCTGGCTAGGGAATTCTGAGAGTTGAAGTCTACACATCTTAGTTGCCAAGTTTGAAAAAAACGGGTTCAACTAATTCATTAGTGAATGGCTAGGCTATGTTAGTCACGCTCCATTTTGCCAATTCAGTTACAGATTTACATTTTCTTGCATTTTGTGCCCAATTTTCTGGAAGAGTGCAAATGGACCTAAATTTAATTGATTAATTTATATATTAATTGATTTGCTTGCAAGCTGCTTATTAAACCATCTCTTTTTTAACCACCAGCATGCCTCCAAGCTTGGATGTTAGGAGGAATTTCCTAATGGTAAAAGCAGTTTGACAGTGGAATCAGAGATCTGAGATTTGGCCAGCATTCCTTCGCTGGATACGTTTAATAGAGGCTGGAAGCAGCTGTTTGTGTCAGAAACCATGACAATGCCAAGATAGCAACAGGCAATTATGATCTATAAATGCCACAATTATATATTGGTTGTCAGCCTTCCTTCAGCCTTGATTGGAAGCAAGGAATAAGAATCCAAGATCTTTATCTGAAGGGAGATAGAAATGATTAACATAAGCACTGTAATAAGTACTCTATTTTCCAATGAGAAACAATTTAGAACAATAAAACTCTGTTTTTCCTCTGGACTTTCCATACAGCAGATTGTTTGACTCTGTCTTTTGAGAGGGAAGGTCATCTTCCTTTATTTCATCAATTTGATAGTTGATAGCTGTTTTAACAACAGGAGTAATAACCCTCCCACTTGTGCCACGACATCTGATACAAGAACATAAATTGTAGCATCGGTGCTACAGCTAGTCCTCAACGTTTGACCAGAACTGGGAGCAGAAATTTCCATTGTTAAGCAAAGCGGTTGTGAAATGAATCGTGCCTGATTTTGTAACTTTTTTTGCCACGGTTGTTAAGCGAATCACCGCAGTTCGATGAATGATTCAGCCGTTAACCAAATCCAGCTTCCCCCATTGACTTTGCTTGTCGGAAGTCAGCTGGGGAGGTTGCAAATGGCGATCGTGTGACCCTGGGACGCTGCAGCCCTCGTAAATACGTACTTGGCCATTGCCAATCATCAAACTGTTAATCAAGTGACTGCGGGGATGCTGCAATGTATGATTGCCAGTTATACATCACTTTTTTCAGTGTGTTGTAACTGCAAACAGTCATTAAACAAATGGTTGTAAGTCGGAGACTACCTGTGTTACACATGTGTTGTCATTTGCCTCCCTCCGTTGGACACCTAATGATTGCTTATGGTTGGACAGCCATCTCTTGAGGGTCATTTTGATTTGGGTCCCTGCACTCAGCAAGGTTGATTCTAAGATGGTACTGTGTGTGTGTGTGTAAGAGAGAGAGAGAGAGAGAGAGAGAGAGAGAGAGAGAGAGAGAGAGAGAGAGAGAGAGAGAGAGAGAGAGAGAGAGAGAGAGAGAGAGAGAGAGACTGACTCTACTTTTTCCCACATCTCTCTTCTCATCCACGTATAACTTTACTGAAATTTTTTTTACACAAATGAAAGTACCATGAAAACATCTAAAGCAGAGTGTTAATTAAAAAAAAGATGAAGGAAAAAATGATATTAGACAAAAGACGCAGCATCCGATTTTCTTTACAGCAGTTATAAACAAGCTTATTTTCTCCCTCTCCCTTTAAGTTTTCATACATACTTCTCCTCTCCCCATATTCAACCTTTTTTTTAATTAACAAAAACAAAAATCACCCAGCTCATTTTGAACTGTTTTCAGCAACAACAACAACAAAAAAACCCATCAAGGATTTTCAATCTTTCGTGAAAGCACTTATTATTGTACACATGGTTAAACAAGTTTATTTTGTATTCTTTCCTCCTAGGCAATCTTCTAATATGAAGTTTCCCAAACTTGGCGACTTTAAGATGTGTGGACTTCAACTCCCAGAATTCCCCAGCCAGCCATTCCCTATGCTGGCTGGGGAATTCTGGGAGTTGAGGTCCATACACCTTAAAGTTGCCATGGTTGGGAAACCCTATTCTAATAGATCAGCGGTTCTCAACCTATGGGTCGCAACCCCATTTGGGGTCGATCGACCATTTCACGGGGGTCGCCAAGCAAGGCTGTCTGCCATTTTTTTCCCCCTTTTCCGGCGGGTGCCTTACCTCCCTTGAGCTGGGCCAGCTGGTGGTCGGCCTGCTCCGTCTCTGCCGCTTGCCAGCTATGCCTCGGCCGGCGCAGGGGACGGAACCACGCGGTGCTCCCGGGCAGGGAAAGTCCTCGACTTACGACCGGTTGGGTAGTCCTCAACTTACGACCGGTTTAGTCCTCGACTTACGACCGGTTGGGGGTCGCGGCATTAAAAAGGTTGAGAACCACTGTAATAGATGTTTCTTTGGGCAAAGTTAACTTGGTGTTGAAGTATTGTTGTATAACTTGATCTCTTCTGGTCCCACTTCTCTCTTCTCCAGATACTCATTCTCCAGAAAGCTCTTCAAGAGCCGCCTCCCGGCCTGCTGCCCAATCAGATCCCCCAGGAAACTGAGAAGTTGCTGCTCATCTACGTCCGGGTGGCCACTTGGAACCAGATTCTCGATCCCTGGGTCTACATCCTCTTCCGCCGAGCAGTGCTGAGACGCATCTACCCCAGCTTCAAGCCCAGGCCTTCTATTGTCTCCCTTTACCCGGTGCTCAACCCATCCCTACGGAGGAAATTTACTCAGGAATCAGTGTTGCAGTAGCAAGATATTGTGCTGAGGTCCAGCTCATAGGATTCCTACTTTTAACAGGGCAAAGGGAGCCCTGGAGTGCTATGCTTTTACCCGTAGTCCTCAACTTACGACCAAATTTCCATTGCTAAGTGAGACGGTTGTGAAGTGAGTTTTGCCCCAAATGATGATCTTTCTTGCCACGGTTCTTAAATGAATCACAGCAGTTGCTAAGTTAGCAACACGCTTGTTAAGTGAACCTGGCTTCCCCACTGACTTTGCTTGTCAGAAGTGTGAAAAAGGTGGGTCACATTACCCCGGTCACACTACAACCCATCATAAATACATGCCACTCGCCAAGTGGCTGAGTGTTGATCATGTGACCATGGGGATGCGGCAGGGGTCGTAAGTGTGAAAAATGGTCCTGAGTCACTTTTTTTCAGTGCCTTTGTAACTTTGAACGGTCACTAAACAAATGGCCGTAAGTCGAGGACTACCCACACTATAACTTTGCTGCTTGATAGTTTGCATTGGGGTAAAGGCCCTGGAAGTGTACTAGGACCTCCCTCTAAGCTACGGTACTATAAGTCCTCCGTTGGATGTCGCCTTTCAGCTCTAGCCATAGCCTCAAATGTAGCATGTAGCTTCACATTAGATTGCCAGACGTGCTTTCTGAGAGTGGAAAGGACAGTTCCTCACAATGGAAGAAAGGCAGGAAGGTCACAGGGAGTCCTCAACTTGTGACTAGTAAGCTTAGCGACCCTTTGAAGTTCCAACCGACCTCCCCCCCAGGAAAGCTGCTTACAACCCAGTTCCAAAGTTTTGATGGCGCCCCCCCCCCCCCGGTATCCTCTGTAATTGCTTGACTGCATTTGGGACCACACTTCTGGCAGTTTGCAGTACCCCACCGTCACTTGACCCTGATTTGTGATGGTTTTGCCATATTTCCAGCAAAACTCAGCCCAGAGCAAACAATGGATTCACTTTAACAATCACTATGGAAAAGATCATAAAATCTGGTCTGGTTACATAGTGACCCGCTTTAATGACTTACAACTGTAACTGCCAGCCTCAATTATGATCATAACAGGAGGACTACCTGCAGTTTGGCAACCTGACGCAAATGAACAGAAGAAGCCAGTTTTCAAGCACGAAGTTGGTTAATTAATGGGGAAATTGATCCCCAGTGGAACTTCAGAGAAGAAGACTAAATGCAGCATGACCAGGGCAATTCAAAATGCATGGGGGCCATGTACATGATTGTTGCAGTAATAAATCCTGTGGCAGTATACAATATATTTGTGATGGTCATCTTTTGGAAGTGGGGCTGGATCCTTTCACTATCCTGGCAAGCTGGATTTCAAAGCATTGGAAAATTACTGTGGTTGTTTCAAGTTTAGTTTGCCCCAAGCCATCCCTAGATCCAGATTGAAACAAATGCACACATCGCTCAGTTCAGCTAGCAAAAATGTAAAAAGCGTGAGGTTTATTTATTAAATATCAGCTAATATTAAATTTAAAAAGCCTCAGCTGGCCAAACCAGGATAAAAGGCAACTGAACGCAGGGTGAAAGAAGGACATGAGCAATATGCAAGAATTTACCTGATCTACATACATATCTATATATATTGAGAAGCATAGAAGTTTCCAAATGCACTGGAAGTAATACTGTAAATCAGGGCCGTCTAACCTTGGCAAGTCCCAAAAGTGCTTTTTCAAGAGGCAACTGGACTTTCTTGTTTTTCTTTGCAGTTGTTTTGCTTCTCTTCCAAGAAGCTTCTTCAGCTCTGAAGCTTCTTGGATGAGAAGCAAAACATCTTCAAGAAGAAGCTTCTTGGATGAGAAGCAAAATGTCTTCATTTTGCTTCTTGAAAAAGCACTTTTGGGACTTGCCAAGGTTAGAGGCCCTTGATTTACAATATTACATTACTTCCAGTGCATTTGGAAGCAGTTTTTAAAAACATTTTTAATTATTTCAAAAACAAACTGACAGACATAGACAAAATTGCATATAAAACACACACATAATTGTCGAAGTGGGTAAGAGGATTATACATAGTGCACAGAAAAGGAGTGTGAAATAGCTTAGCAAAAAAACAGTAACGGCAGAAGATAAGAAAAAGAAAAGGAAACACAGTGTAAACTCATTTACACCACTACGTTCCCCATACCTTCTTATCCTTATAAATCAGTGTTTCTCAACCTTGACAATTTTAAGGCATGTGGACTTCAACTCCCAGAATTCCACAGCCAGCAATGCTGGCTGTGGAATTCTGGGAGTTGAAGTCCACATGCCTTAAAATTGTCAAGGTTGAGAAACACTGTTATAAATCATCCTTGTTCCCAATATCCATGGACCACTTCATACACCACCTTTTTGGCTTTAAATTCAACTCTCTCTTTTTTAGGATCTCAGCAAGACCACTCCTCCACCCAAACTCCTTTCTTGGGTCCTTCATTTTGATTCATTCTTCCATCTTCATTCATTCGCTTTATATAACTAAACCACTTCAATGTAATTCTTATATTCTGATCACTCCCTAGGGTCCTAGGATGTTTCCCCTTTTCTGCATATATTCAAGCAGAAGTTAATTAACTATGAGTTGGAAATGCATCTCCGCATAGTGAAAGGAGGTTGTCCATTCCAACTCTATGAATGATTCTCTAAAGTTATTGGACTTAATAGCCCAGTTATTCTCTAAAGGCCTCTTGAAACTAATTAGGAACAATTGACATTGTCTATGCAGGGTAAGGTTGTTTTCGTTCCAAATGGGTCTTCAAAATGACTATCCATTATACGTTGGGCAATTCATCAAAGGAAGGATAGGTGAGGAACCTTACCTTCCTCAAGAGACTGGTCTTTGGGAGAGATGTATCTTTTTTAAAAAAACAATCACTAACTAAAAAAAATACATAAGGAATCAGGGGTATCCTCAGGGAATAGTTAAAATGTCAGGATAGTAGTTGCAACTGTGGGGTTGAAATTCCCATTTTTAATGGGTGTTGCATGTGTCATATTATTGTGGCTGTCCTCTTGACTTACTTCACTATGCCCTGCATAGTGAAGAATGATGGTTCGAATCCTTTCCAGTTACAAAACTGGACTAAAAATACCCACCCTAAACAAAAGCCTAAAACCCACCCTTAACAGAAGCCTGACAATACCCATCCTTAACAGAAACTTGAACTGAAAGTGTGGTGGGTTGCCAGGAAGCAGTGTCTTTTCTAGCATAGTAATTGCAGAATTACCTATTCTGCAATTATGAGAAGTGCATCTTAAATTTATTAACCAAAGAAGGTGCCATCCTGGTCTGTTAACCTGGACCTACAATGTAGCAATTGTATTTTGGAATACTACTGGAAGTATATCAAGTACAGATGCTAACTAGAAGTAATCGCCCCAAATGGTAGTATCTCTCTGTTCCCTCCATACAGGTAAGTTCCTTCAACCCCAATAGGAGAGCATGTGGTGCTACTGTCTGAAGTGATCCATGGAAATTTTGCAAAGGTGTCATCCTTGAGCCATAGGTTATAATTCTGGATGGAAATCCCAAATGTGCATGCAAGATACGGAGAATGCCAGAGTAGAGAAAGGAAAAAAAGAAACAGCCTTCCTTGCCCAACCGATCTCCTGAAACTACTCAGAGATTTCCCTGCTCTTGCAAACTGCAGTCCACACCTCTGAGACAAACTCTTCTGGGAAGGTAAATTCACCCAGGAGCAAATCCAGTCCACGAGCAAAGTCTTCAGGGCTCTGGCATTCTTTGGTGATCTCCACCATGCTCGATGCTGTGGAAAGTGGGCCTGAGGTTAGGACTCAGCACTGGGATAAAACATCATTTGGAGCAAAGACATATTTGCACATGAACTGGGTGCATTCATAAAAAGGCTGCTAGGGAGGGCCTGGCCTGTGGTGGAACACCCAATTGAAGACAAAGTATACTCTAGGACAGAGGTCCTTAACCTTTTGGGCACCAGTGACCAGTTCTGTGGAGAGAGGTTATTCTGCAGACCGGAGAGTGCGTGGTTTTGTGTGCTGCCTGCATCTTGCAGATGGGGCTTTGCTTGTTTGTGCGGACCGGTTGCTGGCATGCCACGGCCCAGTATGGGTCCATGGACCAGGGGTTGGGGACCCCTGCTCTAGGATATTGTTCAGCATCTCAGTGAGAATCCATGGAGCCCACAGGCCCTCCTGCAAATAAATACGAAGGCTGAACTCTAAAGCTTCCTCCTTCTGTTATGTATTCAAGATGGATAGTGATTAATATTTATATGTTATTTATATGTAAGGGTATAGGTCTATACATATGTTGTACATAGTATGTTTAAATGTGTTATGTATGTGTAGAATTTGAGAGCAAGCAACTAAATTTCATTTTTAATGTGTGCCGTTGTGCCCACAGTAAAAAAATGACAATAAAAGTTATCTAATCTAAAAACAAAATCTAATTGCGGCATGCTCGCTACCCAGTTAATTCAATAGTTAGCCAGGATCCTTGTTTAATTATTAATTTAATCAAGAAGCCCGATGGATACCAATCTAGTGGGTGGTCCAGCAGTTCCATCTCCTTAATGGAGGAGATTGGAGGCACAAGGGTGTCCAAGGGTGCCACATTGTCTACCTCTGAGATCGTTTTTAGACAAAATTAAGGGAAGGCCAATCATAACCTAAAGAACATTTTCTAGGATAGTTCTCTTTATCTCTCTTTGTTAGCTTCATTTCACATGCAATCATGTACGAATTGTCTTGCTGTACCAAACTGAAAATCCATCTTCCTCAATAGTCATCCAGATTCAGCACCCTTCTCTACAGCGGTGTTTCTCAACCTTGGCAACTTTAAGATATGGTGGACTTCAACTCCCAGAATTCCCTAGCCAGCTAGGTAGGGAATATTGGGAGTTGAGGTCCACCACATCTTAAAGTTGCCAAGGTTGAGAAACACTATCTACAATATAATTCCCCAAATCCAGAATCTGAGGTAGGTGTCTCCTAATCTGGAGGTTCCACCCAGGGAATAGTGAGGCAAGGTGAAAGGAATCTTCACATTTTTTTTTCAACCACATCATGCGTCATTCCCTACTCACCCAATTCGAGATCACGAATACCCATGTAGCTTTCCAATAAGTCATCCATTTTTTCAGCAGCTTCCTCCTCAAACTCACTTGGCTGTGAACAGAAGAAGAAAGGAGATCAAATGGAGCTGAAATGCCAGTGTTGACAGGAAATTCTTATAGTGTTTCTCAACCTTGGTGACTTTCAGATGTGTGGACTTCAACTTCCAGAATTCCCCAGACAGCCAAGATGATTGGGGAATTTTGGGAGCTGAAGTCCACACGTCTTCAAACCGCCAAGGATAAGAAACACTGGGCTGCACAGAAGCACAGAAGCTTCAGAAGCAATGAAATGTGGTGCCTTCTCATGACCATTCAGAGGCCTCTCCTGCTACAGCTGGCTAGGCACCTAACGCATTTTCTTGAGGTTAGCTCACTTCCAACCAGCCACCAAGTTTCTTATATTCAGTACTATAAAAATATGGGCACTTGGTTAATCCGATCCCTGTCCCAGAGCATACTCACTGCCTGCTCTATGGTGGCAGTGCCCGTTGCACGCAGGCGTAGTGTCTCCCTTCCGCTGCCTAATTTCCCCTCACTTGAGCTCTTGCTGCTTCGTGTCCTCTGGCTGATCATATCTACAGAGGGGAGGAGAAAAGAAGATCAAGAAGTCAACATCAAAGACAGTGGACATAACAGAACATGTCTGAGCACAACACAACTCTTCAACAGAATGAAAAGGTTACAGAATTCACTTTTTTTTTTTTGCTAGAACCCCTTGAAGTTCATAAACAACTGTGTAAAATAGAAAATGGGGGTGGAATAAAAAATGGCATGAAGACTAGAGACAGTTGATTATTATACCTTGTAAGGCATCTACTAGGAAAGGAATGCCATTCCTTTGGGCCACTGGCCGTATCTGGAATTTGGGGAGCATGTTATGGACACATTCACAAAAGACCAGCTATGGGATGCAGCCATCCACATGTTATTTGCTGAGAAGACTTCTGAGATTTATGAGGTGATGCTATCATACACGTATGTTTCAGGCTAACACTTTGGTAGCATGCTTATCTCCCCTTTAATTTTTTTTAAAATTAAACACATCTTTAAAAAATTAAAATCAGGTAGGGCAGAGAACCATGTCAAGGATCGAGAAATCAGAATGACAGTCATATGCAGTTCTCAAGCCCTTAAACAAAACTTCAAACGGTAGGATTATTGGGTCAAACTGAATTAATGACTGAAGATAGGAAATGATAGATGATGAAGATGATGATATGATGGTGATGATAAGGTGGGACCACAATATAGACAAATAGAAAAGAAACTAAAATGCTCTGGAATTCAAACAGACAAGTATTTGCTATATACTGTCTTTCCCCGAAAATAAGACCTGGTCTTTTTTTTTTTTTGCCTCCAAAAAGGGCACCAGGTTTTATTTTCAGGGGGTATTTTTTCCACTCACGTCTGGCACCGACAGCCCCACCCAGCCGGCCCACATCTGCAGCTGAAGAAGCAGCTTCATTCTGTAGCTGAGAATGGAGCTGCGGCCTGCATTTCGCAGTCAAAGCCCTTTCCGGAAGGTCACTGTAGCCGAGAACTGAATTATGAATTGAATCCATAGCTTGGTTCTTGGCTGAAGAGGCCTTCCGGAAAGGCCTCTGACTGGGAAATGCAGGCCTGGGGATACCACAGAAGAAGCGGGCCAGCAAGGAGAGGCCTGGCTGCAAGGTAAGTGGGTGCAGGGCATGTGGGGCAGCTCCACACCCCCACCCTAGCTTGAAATTTAAGTGTGTGCCTCGCCCCAAAACTAGGGCTTTATTTTTGGGGTAGGGCTTATATTAAGCCCAACCCCAAAAATAAAGCTAGGGCTTATTTTCAGAGTAGGCCTTACTTTCAGGGAAACACAGACTTAAACATTGTTGATAAAAAAGACAAAACAATCTGGAGAATGGCTATGGCAGTACCTAGAGATAGCAGAATAGAAGAGAAAGAACTGGAGAAAATCATAAAATCATAAAATCATAAAATTCAAAGACTGGCAAATAAAACAACTGTGGCAAAAGAAAGCAAAAATAGAATCAATAGTGAAAGGCACCTTGGGTGCCATCCCAAAACATCTGGAGCACCACTTCAGCACCACCACCAACATCTGGAGCACCAACATTGACGAAATCAGCATCAGTCAATTTCAAATGGCTACTTTACTTGGAACAGCTTATATCCTATAAGATGCAAAATCCAGTCTAAACATCTGGCTGACTAGGCGATGAACAATGACTTTCATTCTAAAAGTGCCATTTTTGAAAGTTAGCAAGTTGTATCAAGTCATTGTGTCGCATTTTACAAGAAGCTGAAGAAGCTGCTTGGATGAGAAGCAAAACGTCTTCAAAGAAAAAATAAGAAAGTCCAGTTGCCTCATGAAAAAAGCATCTTTGGGACAGTCATAAATCACTTTATTCAGTGTTGTTGTAACTTCAAATAGTTTTAAGTCAAGGACTATCTGTGCATATTTCCCTCACAGAAATGGAGAACTTCTAACCATACAGCTCTGAGCATCCTACACTATGGACCACGCTGGCTATGACTGCTGGAAGCTGTTATCTGCCCTCATTCGAGGAGGAGCACAGATTCCCATGCCAATCTCTTTTTCATTTTAGCAGTCTAAATTAGAAAGGAAAACAAGAGGGGTGTGTTTGTTTTTTTTGCTTGTCGCAACAGGGAATCAACTTCAACCTAGAATCAGTCTGAGATCCCAAACCATATTTTTAACCAAAGCTGGGAATTGTTCTCATCCGTGACATTCTTTCAAAATGGCAGGTCAAACTGTTCTGCTTATTATTATTTCAATAAGGTTACAATATACATCATCTGCTCCTAAGGAAAGATCAGCTCCTTGGGGAGCTGATAATGTTTAGAATTTCCATAAACAGCAACCTGCTTTCCAAACTTGCAAGAAGGATGATTTTCTAACCTTGATCTGACTTCCTGATGTGCTAGATATAAATAAAAGGAAGAGAAAGGAAGGGAGGAAGATATGAAAACCAGGGAAAAACAAGAAAGAAACCAGGAAAGGCTTTAACCAAGACTGGATTTTTAGAACATAATCTAAGGCTGTTAAAGAATTTTAAGCAAAACCAAAGCTTGAAAGAACACACAAATAAAGGAGAAAACAATCCTGAATAGCAACAATCAAAGCAGCAAATAAAATAAAGACTAAAGCAAAAAAAAAAAGTATTTCCTGCCTCAAATAATTAAACAACAAACAAACAATGCAAGCATCAATTCTTTGGGGAAGCTTTTCATAATCTTGGTGCTCCTGTAGAGAAGACCCTGTCCCTTGTTTTCATCAATTTATCCACTGTTGAGGATGGGCTATAGCAAAGGACCTCTGAACTAGATCTTAAATTACAGCAAGATTAACATGGGAAAAAGGGATTATTCAGATATTTAAAACAGTTTGGATTCTATAGATAAGAACCAGCATTATGAACTGAGATCAAAAGCAAAACGGCAACCACTACAACTGGCATTTTGTTTAAATTTGAGACAGAACTGCTGATGAAATAAGATGAATACAGGTAGTCCTCGACTTACAACCATTCATTTAGTGACCGTTTGAAGTTACAGCGGCACAGAAAAAAGTGACTTATGACGGTTTTCACACTTACGACCATTGCAACATCTCCATGGTCATTGATCAAAATTCAGATACTTGGCAACTGACTCATATCTATGACAGTTGCTGTGTCCCGGGGTCATGTGATCCCCTTTTGCAACTTTCTGATAAGCAAAGTCAATGCAGAAGCCAGATTCATTTAGCACCCGGGTTACTAACTTAACCACTGCAGTGATTCACTTAACAACTGTGACAAACAAGGTTGTAAAATGGGGCAAAACTCACTTAACAAATGTCTCACTTAGCAACCTAAATTTTGGACTCAGCTGTAGTCATACATGAAGGGCTACCTGCAGAACAGGTAGTCTATCTATCTATAGAGACTGTGGATTCTCCAACTCTGAAGGTTTTTAAGAAAATCTTTCATAGGGGATTTGACTGGTTTTCCTGCAGGTTACAGAGGGTTGGACTAGATCAGGGGTAGGCAACCTTGGCTCTTTTATGACTCGTGGACTTCCACTCCCAGAATTCCTGAGCCAGCATGGCTCAGCTTGGAAACCTCTCCCTTTCCCCTCAGCATGGCTGGCTCAGGAATTCTGGGAGTTGAAGTCCACGAGTCATAAAAGAGCCAAGGTTGCCTACCCCTGGACTAGATGATCCTTGTGGTCCTTTCCAAATCTACAGTTTTATTATTCCATAATTCATTCTGTATAACTCTTCCAAACCTTCACCTTCATTTTCCAAGCCTGTCAGCCCAGCTGATCAGCAAGAGTACAAGAGGAAGCATCCCTGATCATGATTACAATCCCTCCTTTATGGCTTGTGACATCCATTGGCCTCTTTCTGAACACGAGTCTAGTGCTCTTTTGAAAGAGTGTTAAACCCATGTCCAAAAGAACCTGGAGAAAAGCTGCAGATATGGAGGAGGGTGTAAGAAGAGGCTGAAGCCTCTCTGTACCTCAGTTCTACTGGACAATTTTACAGGTGACTAAACCTGGGTTCAACGAACCCATCAACACTGGGATCAACCATGCATTAAAGAGAAGGATTAGTAATTATTTTGCTTGCTGTCAGAAATGCTCAACAGGAAGGAAAAAGCAGGAAGAAGGAAAAAGTCCTTAGCTTTTAAGGACAATACTCTGGTCTCATCAATGAAGCAGAAAAGACCTGGACCATCAGAGGAGAAAAACAATATTTTATGCATTTGATTTTGCTGGCTCAAGAACTATTGGAGGGCACTTTAAAGTGACTGACTGGCTGTTCCTCAGTGATGCTGGGCTGTGTTGCTAGGCCCACAGTGGGACTCTGTGGTCCTGCTTCTCCTCAGTGCTCAAATATCCACTCACCAAAAGCTCGTTTAGGCTGCACCAAGCGCAAAGTAAATGGCTGTGCCTGGGGCATCTCGCGCAACATCTTGGCAACTTCGTAGTGGCGGCATCCAACAATGGTTTGGTCATTAATGGCTTCAATGCTGTCCCCAACAGAGACCGTTGGAATGCGGTTCATTATGCTACCTTCCTTAATACGCTATAAAATGGAGAAGTAGAAAAGGGAAAGATTAGAAAGAAAAATCCTATCTAAGGCCTAATGACCTTCACTGATCTTGAAAAGTGAGGTAGGTAGGAGTAGCAATTTTTCTCAGCTTTAGCAACTTGTAGATGTCTGGACTTCAACTCCCAGAATTCCCCAGTGAGCAAGCTAACTGAGGAATTCTGGGAGTTGAAGTTCAGATAACTTCAAGTTGCTAAGGTTGAGAAACACTGGTGACAGGATGTGGTAAAAATGTCAAAATGGCAGCTGCAGCAGCACAATCAAACTTCCACCTATTTTTTAAACAGGCAAAGTTTTGAGAGCTCTGGCGTAAGGGAGACTGGCATAACCTATTTCATGGAGAGAATAGGATTGGAGCGAGTTGTGGAAACCATCTATACCAGTTTGAACTGTTTAGAAGACAGGTGTGATAAATGCAACATGAACAACTGAGAGGAAAATGGGGACAGAACCTAATGGGCACAAGTCGAAAATGGATTTTACTGACATGGTGAATCTTCTGGAATAATTTATTTATTAGATTTGTGTGCTGCCCATCGTGTCTATTTCATCCAGTCCCCATAAAAATCGCCTCATGTTGCATGTATCAGTTATCATTCCTCCTTGCCAGCAGGGCCAGTGAGAAACACTGGCCCTGCAGATAGAAACATAGCTATTGAAAATCAGCATGTCAGTCTTTTACCCTATTCCCGAAGACCTACCTTGATGAAAGCATAGCCAGCTCCATTATCTGTGATAGTAAGTCCCAGAGCATCCTCTGTTTTGGTGACTTCCACCTCCTTGGTATCACCGCGGACATGAGCGAAAATGAAATCCTCCAAACCAATCTGGCCGCCTAGCAGCTTCTGCATATCTACCTTGTGGGTGTTCAAAGTGCAGAACAGGATCTGGAGAGATGTGCAAATGCACTTGTATGTTATACAGGGAAAAGGTCTCTGTGGAAGAAGTCAAAAGGTCTGAAAAGCCTTTTGGAGCCCTCTTATTACTATTGCTTTTAGAAGGAGAAATGGTAAGATTAAAATGGGGAGGAAAAGATGGGAGTTCTTACAGGCATCTTCACCCTGGACTGGAAAAGACACCACCACCCCCCCGCATAAGCAAAACTACATTTGAGGATATTCTTCCCTAGTAATGCTTGTCTCCATCCTTCTGCCTGTCTGCCATCTTCTTCCGCTATAGACTGTAAGCCTTGTGAGAACTGAGCTTTCCAGCTCAAATTACTCCTTAATTCCTTGCTCTCATTTCACCCATGGCTGAAGTTTTCATGGGCCCAAACAGCTCCCACGTTGCATCGCTACCCCCTCTGTGTCTGCTTCCAGACACAGTGAAAGCTCTTCAGTTGCCCCTTCATGCCTTCTCCTCCCCAATCCCTCTTTGGTCCTGGAACCTGATAATTAACCCTTTGTATTTCCTCTTCCTGTTCTGTTATCCTGAGCTAGTTCATCGTCTTTTTCCCTTGGTCCCTTTGTTGTTTGTTATGTGTGATACTGGAGGTATTTTTCACAATATCTACGCAATAATACCTCTCTCTTTGGACAAAATGCTAAACTTTTCATCTTGTCATTGTATATTCTTAATGGGATGCTTGCTACATCAGCACACATTTCTGTGGTCCTTCCTTCCTTCTCCTCCCTCTTCCATTTTTCTTCCTTCCTTCCTCCCCCCTTCCTTCCTTCCTTCCCTCCCTCCCAGTAAAAAAGTAACATAGACTACGGTACAGTCACATTGAACATCTAACTACCCATCATAGGCATTTGAACCTGGCATCCTTGCCTAATGCTTTGGTAAATCTTTTCAGTGCCAAGGACCAGGCACTTGGCTGAAAGTCTGAGAGTCCGGCCCCTCTCTTCAATGCTTCCAGCACACTAAGTGGCCTCATCCTTACCTCTGTTGAGGAGATGTCGAAGACCTCTGCAATTTTGGCATAGAGCTCTTTAACATTGGTGAACCCCTCAATCTTGGCAGTGGAGCTCCCGTGGGCCAGCTGAGTGTGGAAGATGAGCCGAGGCCGGACCCGGGGTGGGGGCGGGGGTGGTCCTCGAGCTGCGCTGTTCCGGCTGGGAGCACCTCTTCCCCGTTCTGCAGGGGGCTGAGAGCCTCCAATCTCCTGGGCCACACCGTTTTCCATGGGGGACCCCTTCTGCTGCTCTGTCTTGTCTTTCTTGCACTGCTTTCCAGACTTCCGTAGCATGCCAGGTGTTTGAACAATGGGACGATGGCCTCGATTAAATTATTGATGTTGCAGGTGGAACAGCGAAGCCGTAAGGCGATCCCAGCTTTGGTAAGCTACTTGGAAACCCGATCTCCCACCTTCCAGTGGACAGTTCAGTTTGGTGAGCTGCACCTATTCCTGAAGATGCCACTGCCCAGCCACAGGAGACACACATGCAGGAAGCTACAGGAGAAAAATGCCCGATCTGGCAACCTGAAGCACACAAACGTGCAAACTATTTCTGTCTCTGGGTGTTTGCAGATGCTATCAGTTTCTCTAGGGAATACAGATGTTTTGCTGGTATACCTGGAGCACATGAGGCCCAGTTGCTCACTTCTTTTATTTATGAAAAACAATTTGTGCCTGATTTTCTCAGAGATTGTTAAAATGTCTGTTATTTTTCCATTACAGGTAGTCCTTGACTTACATCCGGCTGCTTAGAGACTATTCAGAATTAGACAGACGTCTCCCGCTCCCCCTTTAAAAAACTAATTATGACCCAGTTCCAAAGTTCTGATGGCCGGACCCCTCCTGTGGCCATGTGACCAGTTTTGAGCAACTGATAACTAGCCCTCATTTATGACCGTTTGCAGCATCCTGCAGTCACTTTACCATGGTTTACAACCTTTTAACCGAAAACTGGCATTTATTCCCGGTTTTCAGCAAAATGCCCTAGAGCCAACAATGGGTTCTCTTAATGACTGCCACATTTGCTTTACAACCACAGCAAAAAAGGTAATAAAATCACATTTATGACCTAATTGGCAAGCTCCATTTCAACTTCTTTCCTCAAGACGGATGCTATAGGGCAGAGGCCCCCGACCTTTTGGGCACCAGGGACCAGTTCTGTGGAGAGAGGTTTTTCCGCGGACCGGAGGGGGCATGGTTTTGTGTGCTGCCTGCATCCCGCAGATGGGGCTTTGCTTGTTTGTGCAGACCAGCTGCTGGCATCCTGCAGCCCGGTAATGGTCCACGGATCGGGGGTTGGGAACCCCGGCTATAGGGCATTACATGCCAAAAGAACCAGATCCAAAGACAGTTTTTCCTCCCATGCTATCGCTCCACTAAACAACTAATTCCAACAACACTTATGCCCTGCGATGTCAAACCACCTAGTTGGGCTGTATTATCTATTATCCTTCTCATCTTCCCTATTAACTATTTCCTTAACTTCTTATGACTATAATTTTGTTGTTTGTATCTCATGATTTATGTTGATTGCTTTTATTAGTACCCTATTATGATTTAAGTTGATGTTTTAGTGTCCTATGACTTTCATTGAGTATGATATCTTATGATTTATGATTGTATTTTATGGTTATGATCATGATTTATCACTTGTTGCTTGTATTTACTATGATGAGAGCTTATGCTCCAGACAAATTCCTTGTTTGTCCAATCACACTTGGCCAATAAAGAATTCTATTCTATTCTGTTCTGTTCTATTCTATTCTATTCAGAATAGAAGAAACATAGAATTTGTATAGTTTCCAAAGGATTACAAATAAGCTCGTGCCACTTTAAGAGTTTACAAATGATGCAGAGATTATAGCTGGGAGAAAGTAGGGTACGGTTCAGAGCTATTGCTTCAGGGGAAGCTGAGAATTGTAGAAGAGAAAATGATAGTCAGGGTTACTGAAATTGGAATTTCATCTCGCATGACCCAGGAAGACAGCCTTTTCTGCTGTGGTGCCTGTCCTGTGGAATATTATATACAGTATACATCTTAAATTGGCCCCAACTCTCCTGCCTTTTAAGAAGGCCCTGAAGACACAGCTCTGCCACTGTGCCTGGGGGTCTGGCAAAGATGAAGGGCTTCTTATGGTGGTTATATTGAACTGAAAAATTGACATAATGAATTCTGCTAGTGATTGAGATTTTATTTTTTACATTGATTGACAGTTTAACTTGCTTTCCTATTTTTCCTTCTTCTCAGCCACCCAGAATTGCTTAGATGAGAAGTACTGCCATACAAATCAAATAAATAAATAAGAACATTGACAGCCCAGCCTGTAATATGTTGTAGGAGAACAGGAATTGTATTTTGCTAGCCCAAAATTTGAAAATATTCTGAGGAAATTAACAATGGGAGTGAATGACCCATATTTTCTTGAAGTGATGAGCTGATTACCGAACAATAGATACCAGCATCTCAAATCCACTCCACATAGTTTCATCAGGCAGAATCGGGGGGGGGGGGAATCCTCCTGGACATGAGAGCATAATGTATTTTCTTTCTTTCTTTCTTTCTTTCTTTCTTAATAGGGGACACAAAGGAAGTTTCTCCTGTTGAATTTCTGCCTGTCTTGCGGATGCTGATTTACTGATTCCTTGCCAATGGCTACAGCCTTTATAACCAAGAGACACCGGTCCGGGACTTTTAAGACTTCCGGAAGTGGAGTCACAGTTCCTTTCCACAGTTGTTGCGTTGGGCAACAACTTTGTTTTTTGGGACCTGATAGTCCAATGCTGTGCGCTTTTATCTCCTTACTTAAAATACGAAGCAAGAGTGGATAGATTATAATAAAAGCAACTCAATGATAAATATGGGGAAGGGCGAGGAAATGCCTCCTAAGTATTTAATTAGAACTCCTATGATGAACACTGCTGCTATTTTTAAGAACATTTTAAGAGCTCTCATTGGCTCCGGCCACAGTTCCATCCAACCCATAAGGCTTGAAAGTCATGACGTATTCATTACACGCGGGCGGGCGGGGAGAAATAAAGAAGCTGGCCTATCCTGAGAGAGTGGAAGCCGCTCTTCTCCAATCAGCGCCTCGAGAGCGACGCTGGTTTAACATAATGGTACAGCTGGGCGGGGGAAGGAGAGGAGGAGGAGGAGGAGGCGCTTCTGCTGGTGAAAGAGACGAGAAAGAGAAAAAAAGAGCAGAAGGACCAGGAAAGTTTTGGGAAACAATGTTGTACAGTAATGGTTGTGATGAGAGGGAGCGGGGAGAGCGGCCATACCAAAGACGGAGGCGGGGGGGTGGGATGCGGGGCTGCGCAAGGTGGATGATTCCGGAAGAATCCATGCATTATTTGGGGAGATCCTGGGAGGGAAACATGGAGGGAGGGGGGGCGGTCTAGCTACCTCTTTTCCTGTCCCCTTCCCACTCCAGTTATCCGAGAGCATTGATGTTAACTTAATGGTGTTTTCCTCCACATGTTGAGATTTTCCGTGTTCCTAGTCTGAATTAGAACAGCCTCGACTAACACGCTTTTCAAACGTCCCGGATTGCAAAACCCATAAACCTCCAGCCAGCATGGCCGTGGGGAGCTCTTCTATGGTAACAATCCCTTGGCTGCAAAATACTGCAGCCAGTCAAATGCTTTCAGGAGGCTTCCCCCCCCCAAAAAAAAAGCCTAAGGGCAACAACTCTCCCATTAGCGATGGTACAATGCCTTTGAAAATGGAGGCTCTCGTTTACCTGTCTCACCCTACTCCTCTCCAGAAATTGTTATACTGTTGTTTCTTAAGTTGTGTGTTTCAGCAGTCAGCCTTGCATCTTGAACAATGAATTCCAGAAATTAATATTATGTAGTGAGCGATTAAGTGAGGTGGGATTGAGGGGAGGGGAGGGATCTGCTCCGAATTTGCCATCCATCCATTTCATTGTCGCTCTGCAGAAATTTTAATATAGAATTTCAGCAATATGAATGGAGCATCAATTAATGTTATTGTTCAAATTGGTGTTTGGTTCTGCATATACCGCAATGGCTATGTTTGCATAATACAGACTGGCCATACAAATGTGTTGGGTAAATCTGGGCCATGTGGTTAATGGTACAGTATGCTATATAAATCTGAAGACTGGGTTGAGAAAACCATGGTTCCATTGTAAACCTATTGTATGAACAAAACATACAGAGGCATTTATTTATCCACCTTAGCATGTAAAATGCAGTTGGTGTATCTTCCAAATTGGAGTACTCATTTCCATGTTGCTAATTATCTTTACAGACAGGGGGAATCTGTAATTTTCCAGATGTTGGGTAACAGTCCCCACTAGCCACAGGAGCAGCTGTTGATGTTGCAAGCGGCATTTGGAGGATCGTAAATTCCCCATCACTAGTTTAAGGTGATGTAGCTTCTCAGTCCAAAATACTGAACTACAGTGTTTTTCAGCCTTGGCAACTTTAAGATGTGTGGACTCCAACTCTCAGAATTCCCCAACCAGCAAGCAGACTGAAGAATTCTGGGAGTTGAAGTCCACAGGTCTTAAAGTTGTCAAGGTTGAAACACACTAAGCTACTGTACATAGATTAGCATTGTAATTCATTATCTGGCAGCTAATTTACTATATAACTGCAATTCTCCTAATTCCCATTGGCCATGCTGACTGGGGATGATGGGGGTAGCAGTCCAGCATAGCTGAAGAGCTTCCGTTGAGGAAGAATGTAGCAGTGGCCATTCTGTTAATTTACCTAAGATGGCCATTGTTATATTCTTGAGGAGACTTTCTCTTGCAGTTGCCCTCCTATTCTATTGAAATTTTCCGGTTAAAAGCTTTTGGACATAACATAGATTGATCCTGCAATGCCTTTACTTCTTAATCTATGCAAATGGAGCCTCTCTTACAGGGTCAGCTTACTTCTGAAACACAATTATTGAACCAAGAAAAAAAAAGTGAGGTATTTTGTCTTCTTTGCAAGGGCTTTTGCTCAGCCATTGTAAGGGCTAAGCTGCTGGATTCATCATTTAGGCATTCAGAAAAGGAGTTCAGAGATACAAAGAGCCATTTAATCTTCTGTGTAAATTATTTCCTGCCCAAGCTAATTGTAATTTACACTAATAATTTCAACATGTCTTTTTTAGGTCCCTTAGTTTAAGTGGACGTCTATGGTTTTTTTGAATTCAAGGAAAAGGAATGTCGCAGGGCTCTAAGCAATCTACTGGACTCCTGTAAGTGATGAACACTTTTTATTTTGGAGAGAGGGGACTTTGGATTGTGTGTGCTGTGTATGGGAGATGGACAGACTCTATGGGTTATGTATATGATCTTTCTAAAAAAAAATCCAACTTGTTATGTAAAACTTTCCCTAAACCAATTTTGAATTGACACAAATGCTATTAAATGTTTAAATTCTCAAAACGTGAAATCCTACATCTTGAGTACATGCAAAATCCCCTTATCCCCTTTTCTTCGGCAGCTTCTAAAATCCTACTCAGCCTCTGCTTTCATTTTTGAAATATAATAGTCCTGGTTACATTTGCATGGCACTGTCCTACACATGGGTTTGTTTGTCTATCTACATATTTATATCCTATCTCTTTTTCTACAACTCAAGGGGGTGTGCATCTTGCTCTTACCTTTTTTTCCCCCTCACAACAGTCCTGTGAGGTGGCTTGGACTGAGAGAGAAGGACTGGCCTAAAGTGACCCAGTCAGCTTTCATGCTTAAGGGAGAACTGGAACTCAGAGTCTCCTGGTTTTATAGACCTGCACTTTACCCACTACATCAAAATGTCTTATTAACCCATCACATGAGTGTGCTTCATCCTAATGGATGTTGCCTGTTGATTCTTCCTCTTTGCATCAACAAGGAAGCAAATTAGGCATGTAACTTACACTAGTGACTGAACCCAAACTTGCATTGCATGTGTGTGCCTAAATAAAGCAGGATCATTTCTTTATTAAACACATTTATATGGCATTCCAACTCACACAGAGATGACTCGGGTACCAATTTAAACCTGTATGTTGGCTGCTTATTATCTCAGCTGTTTAGGTTCAATAAAATATTCTGCATTGTATCTCTTCACTTTCTGAGTGAATGAGTAGCGCAAATGAGCTCTAGTCTAACATACAAGCAAATTAGCATACTTGCTTGTATAGTGGTTTAATATTCGTGCTATAATTCTTAACTGAAAACAAATTGGACATGCCCAGTGAGTCATTGTATTAAAACAGTTTTTTCAATTAGGATGATTTGTTTTTCAATTAATGCTAGGAATCACTTTATGTATTTAAGCTTAAATATGTTTTTTTTAAAGATTTCAAAACTAATCAAAAGTGTGATTGTGTTTCATAGGGCTTTTTTCTAAACAAATAATCCTACACCTTTATTTTTTCTCTGTTGTTCTTATTGATTCATTTAATGCTTTAGCTATATCCCTAAACCTTTTTTTTTTAGTTTTGATGGTAGATTTGGTATGTTTGAAGTTCTCCATTGCTGTTGTGGAAATCTTTGCTTGTAACTTTGGATTACAGGAATGCTACAAGTAAAACGCAACATGGGAACTTCCTAGTGGCTATTAAGCAGGAGAAAGGCGAGGCCCCTCGGTTAATTGGGGAGAAGCCCCATGGCGAAGAAGAGGTGAGCCCCCTGGTGCGTCTATATAAACAGGCTGTCAATTTTGATATATTTTTTTTAAAAAAAATAGCTCACCTGAGAAGGGAAATGCCCTTAGTAAATCAGGATGTAATATCATCTTAGCATTTTCCTGATTCTGCTGCAAAATTTTGACTAGCTGTCATAGGAAGTGTTGCAAAAAAAAGAGTACTCAGCAGGAAATCTGGTGATTTGGGGCCTACGGGTGATATAATTGGAATGTGTTTATAGCATCTTAAAAGTATCGAAATAACAATGGCCAAACTTTGCATACAAAAAGTTTAAGCGTTGAATTTGGTGATGTATAGATTAGATCACTCAGCCCAGTGACAACTTCCACCAAACCTGTATTTGTATTTCATAATCCTAAGCAAGGTCGTATCTCAGTGTATTTGGATGAGAAGTCACCAGAAACACTGTACCAGAATTATTGGCTGGGCTGGGAGTTTTAAACATCCAGAAAAAAATAGCAAACAGCTTCTACATTGTTGCAAAGAAAGCTAAATGGACAAAATTGCTAGGAGTCTAGCTCATCTTGCAGACGATTTTATCTTTTTGCTAAATTAATATAATTATGCTTTTTTTTTAGCATAATGGTGGCCTAGTGGTGAAGATGTTTGCCTCCCACTTGGAAGGTTGAGAGTTCAGTCCTAAGCAGTGGCAGATGTTTCTTAGGGCACAAAGAAAAAAAAAATCTGCTGAGAACTCCACATAGGTGTTAGGAAGGACATCTGGCCTGTAAACGCTCAGCTCCGTCCAATTGTCCCAACTCTACTGGACTCCATCCTTTCAAGGACGTCTCTACATTTCTGAGGACCAGAAACTTTCATTTTAGAGTGTAGCCAGAGTTTCCACATCTACTGAATCCCACAACCAGGATCGTAGTTCAGGATTTTTCCTTTTGCTTGTGTGGGGTTGCCACAGATATGTGGTGGCAGCCCTGAACACAGGCCTGCAGAAATGCCAGGCAAAGCAGAGTAACCCAAACCTTTATGTTTCCACTGTGGGCAGCCGGTGAAAAAGCGGGGCTGGCCGAAAGGCAAGAAGAGGAAGAAAATCCTTCCGAATGGACCGAAGGCCCCCGTGACGGGCTACGTCCGCTTTCTGAACGAACGACGGGAGCAAATTCGCATGCAGCGCCCGGATTTGCCCTTCCCTGAAATCACAAAAATGTTGGGAGCAGAGTGGAGTAAACTACAGCTCACAGAAAAACAGGTGAGAGAACATGGAAATATGTACGGTTTTCTGTGATTTTTAGGCACAAATAAGTGTCAAATCTTACTTCCAGGTTCCCTCAACTTATAATCAATTCCTTAACCACCATTCAAAGTTACAACGGACCCCCAAAAGATACAATCTGGATTCAAAGTTCCGATGCCTGCCTCTCCCCCAGGGTTGCATGACTGAAATTTTTTTTGGGCAACCAGCCTGCATTTATGAGCATTTGCAGCATCCTGGGACTGCAAAGTATGGTGGGGTTTTTTAATAGATACCAGAGTTTACTTCCAGTTTCCAGTAAAAAATGCTCACTGTGAACAGTAGGTTTGCTTTATGACTGCAATGTTAGCATGATGACTACCTCAAAAAAGGTCATAAAATTGGACATGGTTACATGATCTGCTTAATGGCCAGCACAAGCTACAGCCTTAATTATGTGTTCCATTATGGTCGTAAGTGGAAGACTACCGGCATTTTGTCCCTATCTAATGTTAATCTAGAAGTTACTATTTGAGTTTTGCTTCTGCAAGTTTGAATTCTGTTTTTACTGTACATCAACCCAGGTATCTGAGGCCATCAGGTTGGTTCCTAGTGACCATACAGGTGGATTTTCTTCTGGGTAATTGTCCACAACCTGACCCTTCAGGTCTTCCATCAGTGGCCCATTATTGCTATAATTGAATGCTGGTCTTCTCTTTTCTTCCAGTTTTTCAGCATTCCAGTCTTCTTTAGAGATCTAGGTCTTCATATAATCTATCTGAAATAAGATAATTTGGGTCTGGCCATTTCTGCCTTGATTGAGAAGTCTGGATATTCAGGGATCCATTTGTTTGTTTTCTTGACTATCCGTGATATTCTTAGAAGTCTTCTCCAACACCAAAGTTAAATAACATCAATAATTTTCTATCCTATTTCTTCAAAATCTGAAGCCACTTGCCAGTTACAGGTAGTCCTCAAATTAGGCCACAATTGAGCTCAACATTTCCTTTGCTAAACAAGACAGTTAAGTGAATTTGGCCCCATTTTATGCCCTTTCTTACCATAGTTGTTAAGTGAATGACTGCAATTATCAACACGGTTGTTAAGTGAATGTGCCTTCCCCATTGATTTTGCTTGCCAGAAGGTCGCAAAAAGTGTTCACATTGACCCAGGATACTGCAATGATCATAAATATATGCCAGCTGCCAAGCATTTGAATTTTTATCATGTGACTGCGGGGATCCTGCAGTGGTTGTAAGTGCGAAAAATGTGCCACTGTAACTTCAAACAATCATTAAACGAAGGGTTGTAACTCGAGGACTATCCCTATAGGCATATTATTATATTATAAGCATGTTAAATAAGCACGGGATGAAGAGAGATGGAGTTTGTTGATTGGGTGAGTCGTAACTTTTCCCGTGTTTTCAAGCGCTATCTGGATGAGGCTGAGCGGGAGAAGCAGCAGTACATGAAGGAACTGAGGGAATACCAGCAGTCAGAAGCTTACAAGCTGTGTGCTGAGAAGATGCAAGAGAAGAAAATCAAGAAAGGTCAGTTTTGCACTTGCGTCCGATACTTGGAAATCCAGCAAAGAGGAATTGTATAAGTTGTCTCTTAGGGATTCCCCATTATTGTATTTCTTCCTCATATTGTTGTATGCCACAAAGTAATTAACGGACTCCAAAAAAGGCTTGTTAACTTTGTAATACCATTTGTATCTATACGTTTTTATGTATTTAAATACATTTCTTTTCTGAAAAGAGGCCTGTAGGTTTCACCAGACTCTCTTAAGAGGTCTATGGCAGAGGTCACCAACCTTTCTTGGTTGGTGGACCGGAGGGAAAGGGAGAAAGCATTTTACACGCACGCACGGGCCCGCGAGCGTGCGCTTAACGCAAACAAGGTGGGGCTAGTGCTTGCGTGATACTCGCTAGCCCTGTCCCATTCTTGTGCACAGTGCCGTTTCTACGCCCCAAAGCGTGGCATTGGCCCGTTTTCGTGCACCGAGGCATGGTGGCATCCCATTTTCGCGCCCTGAGATATAGCGTTGGCCCGTTTTCGTGCAGTGCGGCGTCCTGTTTTTGCGCCTCACGGCGTGATGTCAGCCCATTTTTGCGCCCCGAGCCGTGGCAGTGGCCCATTTTCACATGGCACGGCGTCCTGTTTTCATACCTGACAGCTGCGGCACTAGTGCGATTGGGTGTGTGTGCGCGCACTGGCCAGCCTGTCCTGTGGCCAGCAGCCCATGGCCCACTACCAGGCCGTGGTCCACAGATTGGGGGCCTCTGGTCTATGGCACCAAAGGAGATTAAGAACTGACTTACAGACTTGTCCAGCAGTTTGCTGTCCCTCTTCCCCTCCAGCTAATTTCTCAGCCTTCTTTGTAATTGCTCTTTAAAAATAATCCTCCATGGAAAATGGAGCAGCGGAAATTCGTCTACAAGAATACCACCTACTTATGTTTCAAAGCAGGCTGATGGCGACATAAGAATTAGCTAGCCATTCCTTTGATGTGTACATCATACAGAAGCCTAGTTTCAAATGAGCTTACCTAAGGCAAGATTGTAGGAATGAGAATTTTCTGCTCTTCTTGGAGACTAGTCTTTTTAGATAAGATCCCATGAAGACTGATGGTGGTCTCCCTGCCATTTTGATTTGATGCCTCATTGGGGGGGAAGAAGCTCCAGTAACAACAGTAATAATGATAATAATGATAATAATGATGATAATGATGATAATGATGATAATAATAATAATAATAATAATAATAATAATAATAATAATAATAATAATAATAATAATAATAATAATATTGGAAGGGACCTTGGAGGTCATCTAGTCT